TAGGTCCCTAGCGTTGTCAGTCGGAGTTCGATTTGAGGCGTTAAAGTAGAACTAGTAGAAGAGAAAGGATGTGAACGCTTTTTACGAATTTCAGTAGTAATTTCCGCTCAACTTTTGAGATGTCTTTCAACTTGCCGAATTGATAGGTTTCTAAGCATTTTAGTCGATTTTTCGCACTACCGGACGTCGGCATAGAAGATGCTCTAAGATTGGCTGCTCTCCCGCTTACGACACTTCCTGCACCTTTTCACGATAGTGATACCCATCAGTGTTGCCACAGACAAATTCTTTTTTCTACCGAAATTTCCTGCCATAACCGACAAAATCCTAACAAACATTTTTTTTAGTTTTTAATATTTTTTTTAATGTGAAGTTTATTAAAAGTATAGATAACATAACATTTAGTAAAACTAAAACACAGCTAGTAAAATAAAAACAAATCAACTGCGTATAACAATTCATTTTACTGTACAGACTTATCCAAATGAATGTCTCTTTACACATACATACTTATCGTCACTAGATACGAATAAAGACGCGAGCTCAAAAGTTGACCGCGAAAAAAGACACGTAAACAAACTTCGACGAAGAAAGACTCTTAACATAGATGACGGCAAAGAAGGAGGCGTCAACCTCTATGACGGGGAAGAAAGACGCATAAACTTATTTTTGCGGTCATCTATGTTTGCGAGTAACAGTAAACGAATGCCCCAAAGAGTTTTTCTGGAATGATGTTGAATTCATGTTTATGCGTCTTTCTTCACCGAGGTTTCTTCAAGCGTCTTTTTTCGTAAATTTTTTTCACGCGTCCTTTTTCGCCGTCAGAAAACAAGCTGCCTTTAAACCTTTCATGTCCCGGAACCCACCACTGCGTTAAGCTATTGTAGGCTCCCAGGTGGTTCAAGAGTTCACAAGCCTTGCTTCCGTTTTAAAAGAGTCAAAGGCCTTTAACTCTATAAGAATATCCGATATAATATATTCATTCTGGCCTCATTTTCCTTATACGAGGACATTCGCGAACACAGACTTCGATTGCCAACACCTCCCTATAGAATATGGTTGGATACGAGCCCATTGGCAGACTTTTCAGCATACATAGATGTTCATATTGTATATTGGCAATAATAGGAGTATACGTTTGTGCTTAGGAATCGGGTATATTTACATGCTTGCGGCCGCCATTATACGAACGCACCGGTAAAATATTCGTGTGAAAAAGGTTGCTAAAATGTTTGGAGATATATATTTTCTATTTTTCGCAAATATCTATTACGGAACCTACCAAAATCCAATCAAGTCTACCAATCTACCAAAAGAAAAAAAAACCTACCAGTTTTGGTAGGAAAAGCTCATGTGTGGCAACACTGATACCCATTCTTTATGCATGACCAGCCACCAGGATAGATATGACCCGTAAGCTATCCGGTAGACACTCTGCAATCCTTCCTTGATAGCCTTAACAAGAAACGAGTATAGTTAGTTTCCCTGTTTTCGTCCATTATGTTTGCAGTTTTGCAGTCCATCTAGCCCCGAACTGCCTGATCATACTGTCGGCTTTTTCATTATACAAGTGTTGATGTAGGCTATGAATGTAGACCGTCCGTTCGGGAGTCAGACTGGTAGCGCTCTTGGCAGTCTCATCTGCTTTTTCATTATCATCTATTCGTTCTGTTTGCGGCCATCCTGTCAATAGCCTTCCAGCTGCGAAGAACGTTTTAAGATTAAATACTATATTATATCTAATTCTTCTTCTTCTTATTTGGCACTACAACCGTTTGTCGGCCTGGACCGAGACCAAAAAGATTCTCCAATTGCCTTTCTCCTGTGCGGATTTGCGCCAGTTGCTCGTACCGAGTACAGACAGGTCCTACTGCACTTGGTCCTTCCTCCTCAATCGATATATTTTTATGCGCTTAACTATGTTCGTAAAAAGCTCATACAGTTCGTCAGTCCATCTTCTCCTATACCCGTCGTCTAAACGAACAGGAACCCACGTAGACAAAGTCCTTCACTACTTCAAAGTTATAGCTGCCAACAGTGACGTGTGTCCCGAAACGCATGGACTCTTTATATGTTGCCAGGAAGTACTTTGTCTTGTCTTCAATCACCGCTAGACCAACCTCTTTGGCTTCTTTTTCTAAACTGGGAAACGCTGGGGTTACGTCCCTTTGTTTCAGCCCGACGATGTCGATATCATCTGCGTACGCCAGCAACATCGTTCTTTTGCTATATATGGTGCCGCCGCGATTCAGATTGGCAGCTCCTATTACGCTTTATATCTAAGTATACGTTTACTCCTGAGCTGCTTTTCCTTTCCCTATAGGCTGTCTTTGGTGCTATCCTCATAACGAAAACCTGCGCTGGTCAAAGTAACCTTACTGCCCGCCCGGCGTTCAGTTCCTGACACTATACTTCGACACCCACTCTGGTTACCATACCAAGAGTCGTCCGCGAAACTTTTTAGGGATCTAGGGTTGCATTCTCTTGCGCCTCCTCCTCAATCGTGGTGCGATACATTCGTTCCCAATTAAAGCAAGGTGACATACAAGCTGTGCTGCCAGAGCTTCTCGCATCAATTGTGCTGTGCAAATGTTTCTCTATGGCCGTCAATATAATTGCAGCTGCACGATTTTTCGCGATTAGGTCAATAGGCGCTAAACTGAGGACTCAGGGGAGTAGACCCGAACGCTGCCGTGATGCACAGCCCAGCGAGACGCTGAACCTTCTCCATTAGCCCCAGGTAGGAGGACTTTATCGCGGTATTCCACCACACCAAAGCACCATTGAGTAGTATTGGTCTGACTATTGCTTAGTAGGACCGACGGAATATGCATAAATGATCTTCAGGTCAAGGTGCAGGGATGATGTTTTCTGGGATTGTAATCGAAGGTTTAAGCTTTAATTTAAGTCTAAGTAACCTTTTGTTTCTTCGCTTGAGCTTCTAAAACATTGTCAAATATTCGATTTTTTAATCATATTTGAACGCTTATACACTCGGAGATACGCTATTGCCGGCCGAGGGTCGACCTCTTTTAGAAAAAACTTTTTCTTATTTAGCTGTTGCCCCGACCAGGGATTAAACCCAGGCTCTACGGAATTATAGTACGCATCTCTAACTAGTCAACCACAGCAGCCGATGTATTCCAAAGATAAAAAAGCATTCCAAGAGTTTTAAGTATACATCACACTCGAGGAGTCTTTGAATGACTGCGGGGGAGGGGAGGGGGCCTGACAGTTACCTAACTGACCTGAGTGTGAGGTACTATGTTATTAAAAAGATAAATGCAGGTAGCTTCACTTAACCCATAAAATAAATAAACTACCAGGACAATTTACTAAAGAAAGAGGAATGTTGGTTACAATACAAGACGCATGGTAACTAAGGTGGTTCAATTTTATATGAGGGGGAAAAATGTCACCCTAGAAAACGGGGCACCCCCATGCTACTGGCGCTGAGAAATTTAAAAAAATATGGTTGTTTTTTATAAAAAGCTACTGTTGCCATGACAATTTAGATTTGAAATGTTCTTAGGTTTCGTAACCAATTGTTTGATTAATATATGTAAACAATATTTCTAGAATAAAATACGAGCACCATGAGCATCCTCTAAATTTATACTGTGAGGACTAAATGTTCAGTATGAAATTTAGCCCACACAAACCTCTACTACATAAGCGGCAATACGACACCGCACAACAGCCAGTCAAGCAACACAACTCATAGCAACACAACTCGTAGCAACACACGACAGCATCTTTGTGACCATGGCAACGAAACATCTCACAGCAACATGTGGCCGCACGACCACGCAACATCAAGCACACAGCCCATAAAATACAGAGCACAGCCAGAAAACAGGCAGTCAGCACGGAGCTGTGGTCGCGAGCGAACGACTAAAATTGAAGGGAGCGATAGCTTGTGAGTGGTACACACACCACAAGACATCACCCCTCAAAGGTAGAAAAACCATATTTGATAGAGAGAACTACCGCTGGGTGGGGCGATTGCTTGCGAGTGGTACACACACCGCAAGACATCACCACTCAGAGTAGTAATCATTAAAAACGGTTTCGATCGTCGCTCGCCACTGTCTACCGCGTACGAGCGATCTCCGCTCGTCGTCGTCAGCAGCGCAACGTCAAGCGCGCCAGCAAGAGCGCTATCCGGCACCGCCAACAGCGCAAGACCAAGCGCACCCGCAAGAGCGCTACCCGTCGCCGTCAGCAGCGCACGACAGGCGTGCCGAGGCTAGCAGCGCGCCATTCAACGGCGTCAACAGAGCGCTGCTCACCAGAATTGAAGCCACGCCACTACCGCCTAACGGGACAGGAAGCCGTTACCCAACCACTGCAAGTGACGCCAGCAAATTTTGTTATTTGTTATATCGCTAGCTTAGAAAGAAAAGTTGCTAAGTCCCATTTTAAAAATTTTACAGGAGAGGAAAAAATCTTCCTATAGCCATTTTCTTTAACTATTTCGCAAGACTTTGAATCAAACATTTTGCTGGTTTAAAGCAAAGCAAAACTCCATAAGAATCAGAGGCATTCGATATTTATTAAAAGATGTCGTATTATTTTGGCCTTATCGGATTTGTGGTGCTTCTTTTGGACTTAGCAAATTTTCCTTTTATTGCTTATGAAAAGGAAAAAATAAAATAAGTACCTCTATAATTTTCGAAACGATGCATATTCAATTTCTCTAGCCTCCTCTATCAAAATATGAGTTTTCATAAAAAGTGGACTTAGCAACTTTTCACTCTAAGCTAGCGATATGTTCTTTATAGAAATTAAGGAAATTAAATTAATAAAGTGCGATTTACCAGAGCCCCGAAACTACAAATTTATTGTAACGAACCCTGGACACGGCGAGTATACCCCAGCATTGTGGAAGAAGCGTCGGAGCGAGCAAAACGCTTCGTTACAATTGGCGCCCGAGCAGGGACCCTTGGTAAATCGTACACGTGTAAAGGGAAAATTATTATATGTTTGATACGAACAAGATGGCGGAAGTGATTAACACAGCATGGTTAGATGATATACCCAAGGAGCAACTAGTATCCATCGCACAGGAATTGGGAATCGAGTGCGCGGGTACCGCCCGAGAAATACGCAAGTGCATAACGGCACTGGCGGCTAAGGCGCACTCCGACCCAGAGATCCATACCAAATTCCAGGCGATAGGAATCACCAACAGAGACAACGAGGCTGCCTCGGAAGACGAGGATGAGCATAAAACACCAGTACCACCGGAGGAAAGTGGGGAGAGTACGTCTAATTTCATGGAAAATGCAACACGGAGCCAGTTGGTGGTACCATCGTACCAGCACCAGCTGCCCCTACACCAGCACCCGCCGACAACAACCGTCGGGTCGAACGCAGGAACAGCCAACCCTGCAAACCAAGCACCAACCCACACGTTTGCACCTATCATCGACCAGGTAAGGAAGTGGTCAGTGAAATATGATGGTGGGCGAGACCCGCTAGTGTTTGTAGAGCGATTGGAGGAACCGGCCGAGGTGTATGCCTTGAACGTGGACCTCCTGCCAAAAACCATGCCCAAGTTGCTGTGCGGCACCGCTCTTCACTGGTACCGCAACAATAACGAGCACTGGAGTAGCTGGATAACCTTCAAGCGCGATTTCCTACGCTTCTTCCTGCCAACTCGGTATTTCGAACGCCTCGAGGACAATATACGACAGAGAAGGCTGCACCCACGGGAGAAATATAAAGAGTACGTGATCGCAATACAAAACCTGATGCGAAACGCCGGGTATAGCAGCGAGCAGCGTTTGGAAAGAATTTTCCGCAACAGCCACCCCGATTACTTGTTATACATTCGGCGGCGGGATTTCACCACTCTATCTGAACTACTCACGCTCGCGGAGGAGTACGAGTGTATCCACGAAGGCCACAGACGGACGACGGAGACATCACGCCGACCCCAACAACGTGTGCAGGAGATGTGGGCAGGAAGGACATTATGCCAGGCGATGCCGCAACGCACGGAAGATATTCTGTTGGGAGTGCGGTCGAGCCAATGTCCGCACGATCGAATGCTGTCGCCGGCGTCAGGGAAACGGCGGAGGGCTCCACCAAGAACAAGGCGCGGTGAGCACACCGAACCCAGCGCCGAGACACCCATAACCATGCGTCAGGATCACGGTCGACTGTACGCCCTAGTCCACTTGGGTAGGGAGCTAGTCGAGGCCGTCATCGATACCGGCGCCTCGAAGAGTTTCATATCCACCACCTTAGCGGAGTACATGGCAACCGTAGGAAGCGGAGAGAGGATAACGGTAGCCCTCGAGATACACATGGCCGACGGAACCAGTAGCAATATTTTCGAGGCCATGAGGATCGAGGTTCGTCTCGGACAAGCGATGCACCACGCAGTGCTATACATCATGCCAGGCGCAATAGACGACCTCATACTCGGCCTAGACACATTGGGAAGCATGGGAACTGTAGTGTCCTGTGGCGGTCAACAAGTTGTACTCACCGAACCGACTACACAGACGGCACCATCCGCTACCTCACAAACCACAGAGGATAACACCTCACTCGCAGTAAGTAATACCATCCCGCCGAGGACGGCTAAGAGGAAGCACCGAAGGAAGGGCAGATCCAGGAGCGAGAAGGTCAATAGAGTCGACCATGATGAACCCAGTGGAAACGTCGATAAGCGCACCTCCGCGGAGATGCCACACAGTAACCATACAGGCGAGGCAACACGAATACGCGACTTCCTAGCGGAGGAGCTACAGAAGTTTGAAACCATGAGCGGAGTGGCCAACGTGGCGGAGCACAGGATCATCATGACCGATGACCGCCCAATTAAGCAGCGGTACTTTCCGCGCAACCCAGCGATGCAGGCCATCATCAACGCAGAGATGGACGAGCTCCTCTCCAAAGGGTGCATCGAACCCTCCTGTAGCCCGCATAGCGCGCCCATCGTGTTGGCTCGGAAGAAAAATGGTAAGTGGAGGTTGTGCGTGGATTATCGGCAACTAAATGCCCGATCAGTACCCGACGCATACCCCTTACCCAGAATACAACAGATACTGGACAAGTTACGGCGGGCTAAGTACATCAGCAGTCTAGACCTCAAAAACGGCTACTGGCAGATACCCCTGGAACCGAACAGTCGCCCGTACACAGCCTTCACCGTGCCGGGGCGCGGACTATTTCAATGGCGTGTCATGCCGTTCGGCCTACACTCCGCACCAGCAACATTTCAAAGAGCACTCGACCAGGTCATCGGCCCAGAAATGGAACCCCACGCTTTCGCCTACCTAGACGACATCATCGTCATAGGCTCCACCTTCGAGGAGCATGTACAAAACCTACGGGAAGTACTATCACGACTACAACGCGCAAATCTCCGCATCAACCCCGAGAAGTGCGACTTCTTCAAGAACCAACTCCGATACTTGGGTCATGTGGTAAGTGAAAAGGGAATCCACACCGATCCCGAGAAGGTGGCCGCGATCCGAGAATTAAAACCACCGTCTAACGTGAAGGAAGTACGCCAATACCTCGGGATAGCATCGTGGTACCGTCGCTTCGTGCCCGATTTCGCCACGTTAAGCCAACCACTAACTGCACTTCTGAAAAAGGGTAAGCATTGGAAGTGGAGAGTCGAACAGCAAGAGGCCTTCGACACCCTCAAACGGAAGCTCACCGAGGCCCCCGTACTCGCCTGTCCGGATTTTAACGAGAAATTCACCCTACAGACGGACGCTAGTAACTTTGGCTTGGGAGCGGTGTTGACACAAGAATTAGAAGGAGGTGAACGCGTAATATCTTACGCCAGCAGGAAATTGAACAAAGCGGAGGTCAACTACTCGCCCACGGAGAAGGAGTGTCTTGCCATTGTTTGGGGAATCCGGAAGATGAGGCCATACCTAGAGGGATACAGGTTCAAGGTGATCACCGACCACATGTCGCTGAAGTGGCTGAACTCCATCGAGAGCCCTTCCGGCCGCATAGCGAGGTGGGCCCTAGAACTACAACAGCATACATTCGATATAGAATACCGAAAAGGGAAGCTCAATCTAGTCGCGGACGCACTATCACGGCAACCACTGGAGACCCTCCGGCAAGCGATAACGACGGAACCACAATGCAAGTGGTGGCATAAGCGCGTGGGCGAAGTGCGCGCCAACCCGGAGAAATACGCTGACTATATGGTGCAGGACGGACAACTCTACCGCCATATCCCGTGCCGAAGCCAGGATGAGGAAGCAGTGCCCTGGAAGCTACCAACCCCCCTTCGCCAACGAGTACTACAGGAGAACCACGATGTACCCAGCGCCGGCCACATGGGCATCCGACGGACAGTGGCGCGGGTCGCCAACCGATACTATTGGCCAGGTATGTTCCGTGACATCAGCCGCTACGTGCGCCAGTGTGATTCCTGCCAGCAATACAAGGAAGGACAACAGAAACCCGCGGGAAAAATGCTGTCACAGGTGGCCTCGGAGCCCTTCACACCATGCTATTAGTATTCTTCGACCGCTTCAGCAAATGGGTAGAGCTAGTCCCAATGAGACGCGCCACGGCAGAAGGGCTACGCCGTGCATTCAGAGAACGAATCCTAGCGAGATTTGGCGTTCCGAAGATACTCATCTCGGACAACGGCGTCCAGTTCACCAGCACGCTGTGGCAGCGCTACCTCCAAGAGATGGGAATACGACAGCAGTTTACCGCGCCATACACCCCCCAGGAAAACCCAACGGAACGCGCTAACCGAACGGTCAAGCGAATAATAGCTCAACTTACCAGGACGCAACACCAGCGATGGGATGACCTCCTCCCCGAAATCGCGCTAGCCATCAATACCAGCGTTACCGCCTCTACGGGGTACAGCCCTGCTTTTCTCGTCCAAGGGCGTGAGCCACGACTACCTGGAGCGCTCTTCGATGAGATGAACATTGGGACGGGCACTATTCCCCCTACTGCCGAGGAGAAGTCCAGCAGGATGCAGGAGGCATTCAGGATTGTCCGGCAAAATATGGAAAGAGCGGCGACGGACCAGGCCCTCCACTACAACCTCAGGCGGCGAAAATGGACTCCTAGGGTTGGCGAACATGTTCTCGCCAAGGAACACCATCTATCCAAGGCCGCGGACGGGTTCGCAGCGAAATTGGCCCCCAAATATGACGGCCCCTACAAAATCCTGAGGTACACATCACCGGTGATCGTCCAGTTACGCAAGACCGATGGAGGAAGGGGGAAAAGACGGCCAATATCGCGGAATTAAAGACGTATCATACCAGCGAGGCCATATAGACACAAGGAGACACAAAAAAAAAAAAAAAAAAGGGGAACGACCACACAAATAATTGAATTAATTAACCAACTTTAATTTCGTAAACCACTCCAACCAGCCATTCAACCGCGAACCACCGGAGAGCGAACATCAGGATTTCGGAAGTTACAAGAAAAAATAGAAATAAAAACAAGCAGACATCAAAATGGAAGCCAGCAACAAGTGGGCGAACTGCGTCAAACGCATACGCGAGCGCATAGAGGAGGAGGAAGCGAAACGTCCTCGCACCCAAGTACTGGGGTCACAGCCCCCTACCGGCATACGAAACGCCGCGACGGCACGCGCCGACGCCGCCGCGAGACACACGCAGCTTACGGGCAGCACCACCGCACGCCGCGCCGCAGCCATAAGGGCAGTCAACGCCCACGCCGCAGTCGGGACGACACGCGTTGCCACCATCCACGACGCCGCAGCGCACATGATTAGTGTGCAAACTAGACAGCGGATATCCGCTGCCCCTACTGCAGTCGTTGCACCCAGCAGCGTCATTAACACGTCCTCCTACGCCACCACGGCAGGATCCGCCGTACACGTCGCCGTCAGCACTACGCGCGCCCGCACGGCGCCGACGGCCGCCACACGCCCGACCGTCACGCACACAACAACCGCACATATGTCAGCTCGACGAGCCGACCACTCCCAACAAGTCGCCGGATGCACCGCCGCCTGGGCAGAGGCCGCCGCAAGGGCGCACCCCATCAGGCGTACCGTACCAACGCCCGAGTGCATTCTCGGCAGGGTAACGGCCGATACGCGCAACGCCTTAGTGGTCACAGCAGAGCGAACCAGCAGTACCGAAGAGAGTTCCACGGGTAGTAACTCAACAGAATGTAGTAGGTCAAGCGAAAGTACGACCAGTTCAAGCGACAGCTCGGACGACTCGAGCGAGGGGCGAGTTGACCCGCCGACCACTCCGGTCAACGACCAAATACACGCGAGGCGAACACCATCGCCGCCCATCCAACTCTCATCAGGAGAAGAGACAACGCCGCGGGAGGAGCAAGGGCCAGTACTAGCATACCCGCCAGGGCCAGGCAGCATCGCAATATACCCGGTGGATCTGCGTTCATTAGAGGGAACACGATGGCTGACAGATGCGGTGATGGACGCATGGGCGAGAGGGTTAGAAGGCGAGTTGGGACCAGGGGCCACCATACTCAGTCCTTTCGTTGTGTGGCAACTAACACAGAACGGAAACTCGGAGCAAAATTATCGGCGCATCCATCGCTGGCTGCGAAAAACGGATCTGTTTGGCAAGCGGGCAGTGCTGGCGCCCCACAACACGGCTGGACACTGGTACCTGCTAGTACTGGCGAACCGGGAGACCACCCACCACCTCCTTGACATGGAATGCTGGAGGGAACGCTATATGTGGACCGTGGACTCTAGGACGAGGGGGGGAGCCGCCCACGCAACAAAAACATGGGAGAAGTTCCTGCAGTCGGAGTATACCCAGAGGCACGGCGGGGTAGGCTTCGAGGTTCAAGAAGTCTACCCGAGGGTCCCACAACAGGAGAACGATGGAGACTGCGGGGTATACGTGTTGGAGACCATCGAGAGGGTCATGCGCTTTGTCGGACAGGGCAGAGGCGCACCCGGATGCATCGCAGAGCCTTTCACGGCCGATATGGCAGCCCTGAAGCGGGCGCAGATACTGTCCACGTTCCAACAGCACGCCCATGGACGCGAAAGCGCAGAACCGTCGCCGTTACAACCGCACTTACCACCGCACCAAGACAGATCCACTACCGCCACGCCGATCCGACCGCCGTCACCCTCCGCCCCGCCCTCCGCTACCGTCGCATCACCGATACGACCGCCGCGATCACCATATCCACCGCCGGAACCAAAACAGCAGCAACCAGAGATGCCCCCAGAAGGGATCGAGGTCTTGGCTAGCGATGTTGACGGACCAGTGCTAGACCAATATCCGGAAACTGCCGAGAGAACCCGTAGCGCCTTCGGGAGAATCAACCAGGGAGCGTGCAGGGCACGCCAGAGGTTCCGCACAGAGAACTACATGATCACCGTGTATAGAGGGAAAGCGCGCATACAGCCAAGGATGAAGGAGCATTGAACTTCCGAAGTGGGGGGGAGTATGAGGACTAAATGTTCAGTACACCGCACAACAGCCAGTCAAGCAACACAACTCATAGCAACACAACTCGTAGCAACACACGACAGCATCTTTGTGACCATGGCAACGAAACATCACACAGCAACATGTGGCTGCACAACCACGCAACATCAAGCACACAGCCCATAAAATACAGAGCACAGCCAGAAAACAGGCAGTCAGCACCATTGTGTACAAATACAAGTGAGATATCTTAGCAATAGACGTCATCCTGGGCCACAGCTGCGATCATCTGTTTTCTAGAGTTGCTTATTTTGGTCTAAAGTGCGGTTTTTTGACCTGAGTTGCATTAAATAGTCTCTTAAAACTTGGTAGTATTTGCTGTTCAAATGGTAACATATATGCCCAAAAACTTGAAAAATATTAGATGATTGCTTTTTAAAAATGCTATTTATAAAATTTGGTTTTGATTGCGACATTAGAAATATTCAGATTATAAAAGTTTTTCACATATGTTTTAAGATTTTAAAGCTTTTAAAATGTACGGTAGAATGCAACAATGTGCTTGAATTTGTTTGCTTCTTCGTCAACTTATTCGTTTGCAGACTAGAAAAATGGCGAACAGCCATCAAAATACTGATTCAAAATACACACAAATGGGTGCGCGCAGCAAAATTCAGCCCTAATGGTAAGTTCATTTCATCGTGCGGCGACAAGTTAAGAATTTGCGATACATTTTCAGGCGAATGTATGCGAACGTTCACCGGGGGAAGAGGTATGGGACGACAGCTGGCATGGCATCCAGACGGCAATCTGGTGGCTTTAGCATTAAGTTGTAACCGCGTTAAGATATTTGACAAAGCTGAAGGCGAGCTAATACAGTGCATTCGTCGCCGGAGAATGATGTTGCATTTCACCCAAGTAGAAATTTCTTGGTGACTGGCGGCGATGACGATACAATATGATTGCTTGATTTATTAGAAGGTCGGCCAATTTATACACGGTAGTAGTGCACTTTAGCGGAACCATATAAAATACATTTTTTCCTGTATTCAACAGTTGCCCGTTTGGAAATCTAATTTGCATACATTTGATACCAATAGCGCGCAACAAACAAGCCAGTTCTCAAAGAGCCCAAATTGATTTTAGTCATGCAACAGCTCCACATAACTCCGCCATAGACACACCAGTTGCTGGAGTACCAAAAAGCTGTGATGACAGCATTTTTAATTGATCCACGACAATCGGTGGCATATGGAATGCGTGATGGAAATTTTCTGGTGCTTGATAGCCAATATACTACAAGAGTGAAACGCTACAAGTGAAATGCTGTGATAGTATTTTTTCTCAAATTTTCATCTTTTATTTGCAGTTACATTAAGAAGCTCATAGAGGACAGAGCGGTTGGTGAGGAAGGTGTCGAGTTACTGCTGTACTGCAACTGGGAAAATCCGCTCCACTCGTATGGAATAGTAGCTTATGTCGAAAGGCTGGTTTTAGTATAATGCGGCATTCGCAGCATACCCTCACTGGCGCCGAGCCGTTGAAGAAATTTTGGATAAATAAACGTGCAAGAAATAGTTCCGATACTAGCGCGTCCATATTCTTGTTAAGGGTCATCAAAAAATTCCTTGTGTTGTAAATAATAAAGGGAATGCCGGATTATACTAAAGCCAGCTTACCGACAAAAACTACTATTCCATACGAACACAGAAATATAAATGTATCTAAAACTGAATAACTCAAATCAAATTGGATTGCATTTGCATACCTAATATTGGAATCTGTTTTGATCGTAAAAAATACAACTTGCAGTCATTTAGATTATAGTTTTGAAAGAAATTGATTGCAATCGTAAATTATGTAAAAATTGTCAATAACAATCTGCCTAAAATTTATTTTTCCCATGTAACGGTTATAAAATACGTTAAATCCGCACTATCTGCATTAACAAAAAATATACATTGGAATATTTAAAATAAACCGATTCATATTTATTTTCTAATAAGAATTGTTTCTTAATTGAAAGTATTTAATACTAATATAATGTAGTGGTTAATGTTTTAAAATGAATTCGCAATATGTCCGCAGCTCAG